CATCTTTTGCTTCTGTGTCTCCTTCGTCTTCTATTCCTGTCATAACTACTAATGGCACTCCTATGCCTTTAGCAGGTGTTGGTTCTGTTGTCACACCTCACTTATCTCTCCCTAATGTTTATCATATTCCGAAACTCACATTAAATCTCGCTTCTGTTGGTCAGTTATGTGATTCTGGTAATTTAGTCACATTTTCCTCTTCTTCTTGTTATGTGCAGGATCTGTAGTCTTAGAAGCTGATTGGGACAGGCCGTAGGAAGGGGGGACTATATATTTTGGATGAGTTAAAAGTGTCAATTACTGTTGCTACTAGTGTTGATTTGTCTTCTTTTCGTTTGAGTCCTTCTTCTTCTTCTAGTTTTTATTTATGACATTCTCGTTTAGGTCATGTTTCGTCTTCTCGTTTGAGATTTTTGGCCTTCATAGGGGCTTCAGGAAATTTTCAAACTTGTGATATTTCTGATTGTAGTGGATGTAAACTGGCAAAATTTTCAACTTTACCTTTTAATCGAAGTATTTATGTTTCTTCTTCTCCATTTGATTTGATTCATTATGATGTATGAGGACCTTCTCCTATTGCCACAAAAGGAGGGTCTCGATATTATGTTTCTTTTATTGATGATCATACTCGTTGTTGTTGGGTTTATTTAATGAAACATCATTCTGAATTCTTTGAGATATATACAACCTTTCGAGCTCTTGTCAAAACTCAACATTCTGCCGTTATCAAATGTTTTAGGTGTGATTTGGGTGGGGAATACACTTCTAATAAATTTTGTGAGTTGCTTACCTTAGATGGAACTGTTCATCAAACTTCGTGTACAGATACTCTTGAGCAAATGGTGTTGTTGAAAGAAAACATAGGCACGTTGTTGAAACTGCTTGTTCTCTCTTGTTGTCTGCTTCTATTCCTAGTGTGTTTTGGGGTGAAGCTGCTCTTACTGTTGTAGGTTTGATTAATACAATTCCATCTTCTCATATTTCAGGTTTTTCTCCTTTCGAAAAGTTGTATGGGTATACCCCTGATTATTCTTTCTTTAGAGTTTTTGGTTGTACTTGTTTCGTTCTTCGTCCTCATGTAGAACGCAACAAGTTGTCCTCTCGATCTGCTATTTGTGTCTTTCTTGGTTATGGTAAAGGTAAAAAGGGGTATTGTTGTTTTGATCCAATTACTTAGAAACTTTATATGTCGTCATGTTGTTTTTCTTGAGCATATACCTTTCTTTTCTATTCCATCCACTACTCATAACTTGACTAGATTTGATCTTATTTGTATAGATCCTTTTTCTGAGGATTCTGATAGTTTGTCGTCTTAGGTTCCTAGTACTTCAAATACCCCTTCTCATGTTCTTACCCCGTTACCTTTAAATTATACTCGACCAATTCGTACTTATCATTCTGCAGGTACTGACACTTTACTCTCTGGCACACCTAAAGCTCCCTCTTCTCCTATGGTCCCTCAAGCTCCGTCTGAGATTATGGATCCACCTTTACGTCAATCCATACGCATTCGTAAGTCCACAAAGTTACCAGATTTTGCTTATTCTTGTTATTCTTCATATTTTACTTCCTTTTTAGCTTCTATTCATTGTCTCTCTGAGCCCTCTTCCTATAAGAAGCAATTCTCGATCCTCTTTGGTAGCGAGCTGTGGATGAGAAATTTTATGCTTTGCATAAGACAGGTACTTGGGATTTGGTTCCTCTACCTCCTGATAAGATTGTTGTTGGTTGTCGTTAGGTGTATAAGATCAAGATTAATTCTGCGATATAATGCTAGGTTGGTTGCAAAAGGGTACTCTCAACAGTATGGTATGGATTATCAGGAGACATTTGCTCTTGTTGCAAAAATGACTACTATTCGTACTCTTATTGCAGTAGCTTCGGTTCGTCAGTGGCATATCTCTCAACTTGATGTTAAAAATGTCTTCTTGAATGGAGATCTTCAAGAAGAAGTTTATATGGCACCCCCTCTTGGTGTTTCACATGATTCTGGGTATGTTTGCAAGCTCAAGAAAGCGTTATATGGTCTTAAACAAGCACCTCGTGCTTGGTTTGAGAAATTTTCTGTTGTGATCTCTTCCCTTGGATTTGCTTCTAGTAGTCATGATTCTGCTCTTTTTGTTAAGTACACTGATGCAGGTCGTATCATTCTGTCTTTATATGTTGATGACATGATTATTACTAGTGATGATATTGATGGTATTTCAGTTTTGAAGACAGAGTTAGCTAGACAGTTTGAAATGAAGGATTTGGGTTCTCTACAATATTTCTTGGGTATTGAGGTAGCCTACTCACCTAGAGGTTATCTTCTTTCTCAGTCGAAATATGTTGTAGATATTCTTGAGCGGGCTAGACTTATTGATAATAAGACTGTAGATACTCCGATTGAGGTTAACGCAAAGTATTATTCTTCTGATGGTTTACCTTTGTCAGATCCTACTTTATACCGTACTATTGTTGGAAGCTTGGTATATCTCACTATTACTCATCCAGATATTGCATATGTTGTTCATGTTGTCAGTCAATTTGTTGCTTCTCTTACTACAATTCATTGGGCAGCTGTTCTTCGTATTTTGCGATATCTTCGGGGTACAGTCTTTCAAAGTCTTTTACTTCCATCCACATCTTCCTTGGAGCTGCGTGCATACTCTGATGATGATCATGGCAGTGATCCCACAGATCGCAAGTATGTTACTGGTTTCTGTATATTTTTTGGTGATTCTCTTATTTCTTGGAAGAGTAAGAAACAATCTATCGTTTCTCAATCTTCAACCGAAGCAGAATATCGTGCTATGTCATCTACTACCAAAGGAATTGTTTGGTTATGTTGGTTACTTGCAGATATGGGAGTTTCTCTTTCTCATCCCACTCCTATGTATTGTGACAACCAGAGTTCTATTCAGATTGCTCACAACTCGGTTTTTCATGAACGAACTAAGCACATTGAGATCAATTGTCACCTTACTCGTCATCATCTTAAGCATGGCACCGTTACCTTGCCCTTTGTTTTTTCTTCTTTGCAGATTACAGATTTCTTTAGCAAGTCGCATTCTATTTCTCGTTTTCATTTTCTAGTTGACAAACTCTCGATGCTTGTAGCCGCTGCATCGTGAGTTTGAGGGGAGATGTAAAGAAATATAGGGTTATTTTGTTTTATTGTTTATTAAGGGTAGACAAGTCTTTTCATTATTTCCTTTGTTTAGCCTATATATAGTCTCTTTGTATTTAGGTTGAATCATTCTTTTGTATTTGATTGCATTGTGTAGTATCAATAAAACCCTAGCCTCCTCTTTTTCTTATTTCTTTGGATTGTTTAACACCATTAACCCAACCTGAGGCATTTATATAAAGGATCAAGTTGGAACTATTATATAAATATCTGGGTTCTTCTTCTTCTTTTTCCATCGTGATTTCACTCTCAATTTTTTGTGATTTGGGCAATTTTTTTCAAATCTCTCTTCTCACCATCCTACTTCATCGTCGTCGCCTTTCGAGTCATTGTCTTTTGAGTCATGGTCAGCATCAATGAATCTCTCTTCACCTTCAATTGTTGTGATTTCGACGAATCTATCTTCTCACCTTTCAACTTTAGCAAAGCTGGCTATCGTCAATTCTAGCTATCGTCGCCTCCTTCAAACATTTGATTGTTCGGAGTTTTCTTAATTGTTGGATTGTTGAATGGATTTATGCAGTCCAAGGATTTTTTTCCTTGTTGTTCGAGGCGAGACGAGGCGGGGATGGAGATTCCCCATCAAGGGGTCGGGGAACGGGAAACTCGCCCCCCTACGCCGCGCCCATCCCAGGCTCTCTTTTAAATTTAGTGTAAAGTTTGTAAAAATAACGCAAAGTTTAAATATGGATATAATTATTTTAATAAATTATAATATAATTCATTTGAATTGATGATTTCAATTTAAATTGACTGACTTCATCAGATTAATGTCTGGAAAAAAAAGAAAAGAAAGGATTTTATGGATTCGATTTATTAACAAACTTATTTACCCGTAATTAAATGAATGATTGCGCATTGATATGAATATGATGAAATTGAATTGTAACCGGCCAGCCACATATGGGGTAATTTAGGTGAATATCTTTTCACATTTAAGGCCACGGCTGAAAAGTCAAAAACCAAACGCTTAATTTGGAGAAATAAATAAAGTATTAATTAAATTTAGAAGTTTGTTGTCATTTGGCCTAACTAACGTTTCTCCACTCATTTTTTAACTCCTCAATAAAGCATCTAACTATTTTATGTTAAAGAAAAGATGTTATATATGTATATATCTACAAGTCAAATGCTAGAAACCTGCAATTGATGAGATTATTTTCCATGCAGTTTTTGATCGATATACTTGTATTTGTTTCTTATATTTCAAGCCAAATTCAACGAAAAAATGTGAATAAGAGAAAATGATATATATATATATATGTTTTCATTGGACTCAGATGATGGTATTAAAGATGATTTTGAAATGAGAGGCTTGAACCATTTTTTCTACTTGGATAATATCTAAAAAGAAAACTAAAGTCAAGCAAGAGATAGAGACTGGTATGAACCATGAAGCAATGGACAGGGAAGAGTCTTGTTCCAACTTTAAATTCAAAATGACTTAACTTTGGATCATAAATTAAGTTAGTGAAAGCAGTGCATGGAATACAAACAATCAAGTGATAGGAAAATGTTTTTTTAAATATAAATATGATGTGTGAGTGGGGCAAAATTCCAGAAAATGTGAGAATTAGCCATCATTACGTGTCAAACAAATCCATCCCTTTTTTAACCACTTAGTCATACACGTAATTTCATCTTCACTCTTTTATCTTTTTCTTCCTTCCTTTGGCTTCATCTACACAAACATACAAACAGAAAGGGTAGAAAATCATGGAGCTCTTTCTTTTGATTTCCTAGACCATACAATTATAATCTAATGTGGACTTACAATTTGGAATTATTCAAATGAAGCAAGAATAAGAAACCTATAGTTAATATCCTACTCTAAAACCAAAGAACTTGAACGTGTATATATAATTTATGTTTCTTCCATCCAAAGAAAGGAAAAAAAAAAAAATCAAAAATCAAAAATGAAAAAAGAAAAAGAAATCATAAAGAGTCAAGAGCAACTTAATTTACTTCAATTCACTTGAAAACTTGCCATTACTATTGCTGTTGCTAGGAGTAAAATTGGCATTGCTATTTGTGGTGGTTGTTGCGGGGATTGAATTATTGTTGATAATGTTGTTTGGGTGAGCACCTCCATTAATGATAGATGTGATAGCTGCAGCTACAGCAGCAGTGAAGTTGGGATCAGCTGCAATGGCCGCGGTGGCGGCAGTTACAGTATCAGTAAGCGATGAGTTTGGTTGGCCTTGGTGCAATGCTGGTGGTTGCAATTTTGATTGATGACCCAATTGAGAAGGGTCCATATCTTGAGACATTTGTAGGCCAGAAAATTTTGATTGGTTATAAAGTGCCTGCCCAAATATTTGAGGCAACAATGAAGCAACTGGAGCATTGGCAAAATTCTGAGGTGAGTTTGGAAATGGAATATTAATTTGGTTTGGTGACCTTTGGAGCTGCAAGGGATTGGGAGTTTGTGTAAGGTCTAATGTCACAGTAGGAAAAGGGGCTGAAGCTGATATTGTGGCCATGGTAGAGGAGCATGGGAAAAGAGTTCTTGCCAAAATATTTGGGTCCATTATTCCATCAGCACTTGACATTGAACCCGATAGTAGCAGTCGTGCTGCTGATGATGTAGTTGATGCCATAGCCATTGCAGCTGGTGGCAAGGGATGGTTGTGATTGCCTTCATATGTAGTGATCAAAATTGCTCGATCATCAGCACATCTTTGTACCTGCATAAAGCATCAAATTTTGATTGATTTTTGCCCAGTCTGTAATGGTACTTAAAATCAAACACCTTGAAAAGTAGAATAACTTCCAACAAAACAAATGATATATATATATATATATATATTCAGGTGCAGTAATGAATTCAACAAATTTTTTCGTTCTGGGATAAAGAAAAATAAATGACTATTGTGTATCATACCTAATAAAACAAAACAAAAAACAAAAAAAAAAAAAACAAAAGTTGGGACACTGACTTACAATATGTCAAGTGTAATAAAGAAAAAACATACCTGTTTTCTAACTGGGCAACCAGCTGCCATGGTGCATCGATAATATGCTCGAGGACAGGGATTTCCCTTCGCCATCTTTTGTCCATACTTTCTCCATTGACACCCATCATTGATCTAAAAGCCCACAAAATTTTAATCAACTTCAAATGAAAAAGTTATCAAATTACTTGATCTATCTCAATCCAATTCACTTACCATGGGAGCCTCCGATCTAGCTCTAACAGATACACGTGCCTTCCTCATGGTAGCCTCAGTTTGATCAACATTTTTTGAGGAAGGATTAAATTTAGGAACCTTATTAGCCCCATAACCTTGATCTAGGCTATCATCTCTTCTAACAAGTTGTTTATTATCTTGATCAAATGAAACACCATTCTCTTCATTATTTCCAGACCCCGCACGCTCACCACTCCTTCCTTCCGACGAAGACTGCGAAGGCTCATCGTTATCTGCTGTATTAGTAGCCAAACCAAGATCCATGAATTGCCTTGGCGCTAAAAAACCTCCAATTTGCTTCTTTTCCTCCCCTTGTTCTTCATTGTTGTCAGATTTTTTATCTTGTTGTTGGGTAAGTGTAATCAAATGCATCTGCAGAATACTGTAATTGCTTGTAACCTGGTTTAACATGTCTCTTAAGCGTTGATTCTCCGCGTTCAACCGTTCAAGTTCAGCTTGAGCAACAGCGTACTAAGAAAGAAAAAGCAATAGTACAGTAATCATATTAGTTATGAGCTCGAAAAAGAATAGGCTGTAACCCAATAAGATATACATAAAGTTTCATCTTCTTCTTACCTCACTTTTAGCTCTTCTATCTTCCATATTTGAAGATATCCCATCATCCACCATGGACTGATCACTAGTAGTGAGAAGATTCAAACCGGTCTACAATAACATTGAATATCAAAATAAATAAATAAAGTTCCTAGAACAAAAGCCAGCTAAATGATCAAACAGGAAATTACTTACATTTACATTAAGTTCCAATCCGTTGGGTTCATTACAATTATCTTTTTCACCATGGTGATTATTAATATTGGTGGTGGCCATGGCAATGGTCTTGACATCATGTTTTTTGTCGGCAAAAAAGTCCATCTCATCAATGACCGTTCTTTTATCATCAGACAGTTGGGAAGGCTCTTGATAGTCAGAAGAATTAAGACAGACAGGGAACTGAATAGTTGAAGGAGGAGACCTCTTGGCATCCATGAGAGAAGTGAGTTTCCACTTGTTGTGATGACGGTGATGGTGATCTTCAGGGAAAGAATTAAGCACAGTTGGGTGATGAAGAAAGAAGTTATTGTTACCAGCAAAAGGATCTGAATTAAGAGAGAGTCCACTACTGCCTTTGGCCATAAATCAAGAACTGTTTGTAGAGAAAGAGGAGGAGAAATGAAACAAGTCTTTGAGACGGGGCAATGGACTCGGCAATAAAAAGGGAGTTTGAGACTTTTAGAAGAAGACCAAACAGAAACACTAGTAGTAGTGATTAAGTGTTTTGCTGTGTTGCGTTAAAAATTTATTAGATTTGGATTCTGAGAAAATGAAGGGATTTCTTTTTATTTTCTTATTTTTAATTTATTATTGGAAAAAGAGAGAAATTATTTTATGGGGACACTTCCACTCCATAGTCCATAGTCATAGGTTAGTATTCTAAATGAAAATGTGAATTTCATTTTCTTCTATTTTTTGTCTCTTCATTTTCTTCTATTTTTTGTCTCTTCATTGACAAATGGGACATATATTTTCATTTTTAAATTTCAAAAATAAATTTATTATATTATAAAATAATTCAAAAACCAATTAGATCCACTTTTAATAAATGGGTTTAAGAAACTAATTGATTAAATTTTTTAATCATTCTAAAAGTTAATATTTTTACCGGCTTCAAAATGAACATAAAATAAACGTATTAAAATCCAATACTATCACTATGGTGTAGGAATTATAAATACTGTACAAAGGTGGCAGTGGGACCAACTTAGGTGGAGCCCACGTGAGAGAGAGAGAGGGTAAAGTGGCCGAATGCGGTTCATTTAATTTCGTGAATATTTTCTTTAAGAAGAAAGAAAGAAAAAGAAGAGCGTGGAGATTGACGCGTTCCAGAACTTCACCGCCCCGATTGGCCCGGCGCCTTTGGATCAGTGAAAAAGAGTAGTCTAAGTCAACGGTATTGATGGGACCAAGGGCCCATGTTGTGATGGCTGAACAGTGGGCCATTCATATGGAAATTTGACTTATGACACGTAGGATGCTTCCGTCCGGACCGCCTATATGGGGTTGACTCCGTCATCCCATATGGACCGAATCCCTTGGCCTAATCTACACTAGACTACGTTCTCTACTGACTACTGGTCCACCCCTATTTAATTTTCAGCTAAAATTACTACAATACCCTTATAAACATTTTATCCCATTTGATGCCAAAATTTAAATAGTCAAAAAATTTAATTTTGTTGACTCTACAATTCCCTACATCTTTACTTGACAATAAATGATAAAATCTGATGTCTCATGTAACTTGTGTTGAGTCAGGTTAAAACATTGTCAAATTTACAATTTCTATAAAACTTTTTTTTTCTGTTTTTTTTATGAATTGTCCTGCCAATTAAGAAGATTTGATTCCTTCATTAACTTCTTGGATTCAAACCTTAAGGTCATCTATCACATTTGTGATTTACATGATCGAACTTGTAAGGTGTTTAATAGGGTTTGAGGATCAGTCGAGATACATGCAAGCTGATCTGGACAACCTAGTTACCAAAAAAAAAAAAAAAAAAAAGTTTCTATAAAACTTCTTTAATCTACACCAATTAACAATTTATCATAATTTAATTTAATTTAAGATTTAATCAAACAAAATAAAAATGACTATCTCATAAGGTTAATCAACATTATAAGATTAACATTTTCCATGCAAAATTTAAAATAAA